ACCCACTTCAGGAAAGAACCAGAACAGTGGAACATTACATAAATACAACATTTTAAAATAGAAAATAACATTAGCTAAAAATTAAAATCATTTAAGTGCAGCATCATTCATCATTAGTTCTAACTCTTTTCACAGACTGTTCAAACTCAAGTGCTCCCTCTAGAGCTGTTGTCCATTTTTTCCTCAAGAGATTAGCAGCAAATTCTATTGGTCCCCCAACACTAGACAGAGCCTCTAGATACTTCACACAATGCTTCTCTAGGTCAGACTTAGAGTCCAATAGATTCATCATAGATAGAAAACAGGTAGATATGGCATCATAAGTTGGTGACTGTTGAACTTCAGGAGGAATCATATGAACCTCAAATAGTTTGTTAGCAACATGGACCAGAGAAAACTGGAGGAGTCCAGCAAAATCAGAGTGATTCTCAATCATAACTTGTTTGATCTTTTGTTTAGCTGTTTTAATATCAAAGCCTACAATAATACCAATAGTCAATAGTTAGTCAAAACATGTCGTGTACATGTACCTCCTTCTCTTCTTTTAGTTGGTACTGGAATAGTTCCATCACTGCCACTACTGCTAGGAGCATCTAAAGAATAGATGTCATAAAGTAACGTGTAACAGTAATACTAACTAGCTCCTCCAGTGGATAATGTAGTTGATTCATGTACTACATTATAGGAGGAGGTAGTAGAATCTGATTAATATTAAATAAATAAATTAATAATTTGTATCTATTACTTGTTGAAGGATGAACAGGAACAGTGAAATTTCTTCGTACTCTATGAATGTTTAATGAAACTGGATGAGCCACACCTTCCAGTGGTATGAAGTAATTAAGAAAAGGGACAGCATCAGGTGATCCGTAAACTGATATGAGACAACATGAAGGACGAGAATGCTCTTTATCACCAAATTTATCAATGGCCTCTTGATACAACTGTATATATACAATGACTTAGTGCTATAAAATAACAATTAGCTTACTCTGCAAGGATCAGTGTGAGGAGTAAGTGTCCATCCAGTGAATGGTTTCTTTTGAGGTGCATCAAAGTTTAATTCAACATAATCATAAGGAAACTTGAAACTAAAGGAAATATCTGGTCCAATCTCAGCTTGAGAGTGTTTCCGTTCAATATACTATCAAATAATAATAAAGACACTGTGTGTACATGAAATACAACATGCATGCTCACTTGAATAAGTGCTTCCAAATTCTTAGCTGCAGTAAATGTCACTAGATCCTCTACACGTTTCTCCTCATAATAAACCAGACCAGCATATGTTACAGCCCTTTTTACACCAGTGGACTGTGCCTCTAATAAACAAAATAATAATACTATATTAGTAATGGAGTGTGTACATGTACTTACTGTTAACATGATCAGTGTTTGGTGTAGTAGCAGGACCAGCAACAGACACTGTATTAGTTGGGAGGTTAGTCTCTTTAGTAGACTCTATTCAGTAGTGGAATACATTACATTATCATCAATAGACTCACTAACTAACCTTTACATGCTCCACTAGCCCCTGGTGGAGTACTGCTGGTATCATCATCATCACTGTCACTACCCTCTCCTCCCTCTTTGTCTCCCTCCTCCTCCTCATTCTCCTCTTGTTGTGGTTGCTGTTCCTCCTCCTCTCTTTCTTCTGTGTCTCCGTTAGTCCATTCTTCCCCCAGTATACAAACCAAACAGAACTTATTACGGTGAATGGATCCATACCCACTATTAGAGCTAAACTCTCCTCCCTCAACTATTGAGAATTGGTAAGGAAGACTAGATGTGCTCATGGGAGCTATAGCAAACTTTAAGTATTGTGCAAGATCTGGTCGTCCTCTTAAATCAATGCAGTGCTGTATCTCTAACTTGAGTCGTTTGAGGAGAGGCTTTGAGAGTGATACTGCATACACAGCACTCACTAGGACAGTATTACGAGGAAACTTGAACTGTCCTCCTACAAGAGCAACCACTGCTGCTTCTACTGTCTCAGAGGACAATAGGCTTCCTTCTTGTACTCCAATCCTTAGACCATATTTCTCCCAATTCATCAATTGAAGTTTGTCTCCTTGAATTAAGAACAGCTTCTTCTCTGCTACCTGGACATCACTCAGACATTCCAAATTATCTATCAATTGTATACAATATACACTCAGTCAGTGCAATACTCTTACCCATTGAAGGGATCATGTAATCAAATTGCACTTCTTTGGTACTGGTAGTCTTTTTGATGGATTGTTCCTCTAAGGATGTGACTCTCTCCTGTAGTTGCTCCTTTTCCTTCATTAGTTTGGCAGTATACCTCTCATTATCAGCAACTTTAGTTTTAAGATCTAAATATTCTCTCATTATATATATATATATATATATTGATGATGATACTCTAACCTTCTACTTGTTTCTTCTCTTCTATTTCAGCTATAAATGCTTCAACTGTAGCTCTAAGTTTCTCAATATCTTCTACATTAATAGACTCATCTAATATTATGTACTGATGATACACTAACCATCAGTCATTATTTGTTTCTCCTCCACTGATTCATCAGTTTTTAGCTTCTTAATATTATCTGCAGAAAATTAAAGTTTTACTCTTAATAGAAAAAAATTAATGTATCAAAATCAATATAAAAAATTAATGTACTGTTTAGTTCGTAATGAAATTTCAGTAAATATTTTTGGCATTTTGATAGACATTCCCCAAAAACTTGAAACCTGTCATTTTGAACCATTTTGCCATTATGTGTATGCACAATGGCACATGGCCATGCATAATTTTGCTGAATTAACACACCAATCACCAAAATAAGGAACTTACCTTTCAAAATTACAAGCTATATATAGCTGTACATATTTATGGGTATTTTATAATCTATGCATTACTTGAGTGTGATGAGTCCTCTTGGTCTCTCTTTCGTTTAGTAAGAATAGTCTTAGTTTCTAGTAGTTTTGCTTCTAGCAAACTCTTTTCTTAATTTGAAATAGTAGAGTAAGAGAAATAAAAAAATAATGAAAAAGAATTAATACATGATGTGGTACTTAAATGTGGGCACTAACAAAATATTCAAAAAATTCATTCAAGCTGGTAATGATGTTATTGAAACTGTGCTTAATACTATAGTAAATGGGCAATACTCAATAATAAAAGATACTAGACAAATGTAAAACATTAAGGGGCGAGCAAAGCGATTAATTTTGATTAGCAATGTACAATGTTTAGACATTAATGTAGCTAAAAATGTTGATGTCAATACACTTATGCATGCAGAACTTGCATGGAAGGAAATTTTATAGCTTGTTCTTCTCGCTTTGTGAGTTAAGAATTTCTACAGTTATTAAAGTTATTTTGCTAATAGTATGAAAGATAGTTGGAGCAGTCACTGTCTCACTGGTAGCTTCAGCAATCTTAACTGACTGCATGCATTTGTCAACTCAGTTTAGATGCACTGGATGCATACAGGTCAACTTATCAAAATTCTTATAATAATAGACAAAGATTGTATATCTCCTTTCCTAACCTTTCTTGCTGCTAGAGAAGTGTTTAGACAGAAATTTAGTCTTATCCTGCTGACCGTTTGCTACAAATAAGCTCAGGCTTGCTGATAGCCGCCATTTTATTCATTTAAATCACACCTGTTTTCAATGAAGATTAGGCTATTTAACTTTAATAATAGTTAGACAATATACATACAAACGCTTTCTCGTCTTAGTGGGGCTTACTTTTACTCGCCCCAATAAGTAATTAAATGACAGACAAAATCATACAATAACTAGACGAATGTAGGACATTGAACTGGGGCGAGCCCGGTATGCATTTGTTTGTCTCAAAGCATTTATGATTCTTTATTACTTTTATGATACAATGATGAAAAGTAAATTATCAGTGATTTATTATGTGAGAAAAATAATGTTAATAGTATTGTTGCTGTTGGTACCATACCAAGACTCATGCATGATTCTGTAGAGCAATATCACAATACAGAGAGACTGTTATCTTAAGGCTAGCAGTCAGTGGGCTCGTCAGTGAGTCACTGCATGTACAGTTGTATTCAAACTTTTGTAGTCATTTAACAATGACAAGAGACCACGAGAAATATTTTATTTCTGCTTTCTTAAATTTCTTGCTGCTGGAGAAGTGTATGGACAAAAGATCAGTCTTATCTTGCTGCAAGTAAGCTCAAGACTTGCTCCCGTTTCATAGCCTTCACAAACGCCATTTTTTATTTCATTATAACCAGCCAACCACACCCAAATCAATGAAAAATTAAAAATTAAGCTACCGCATTAGATCATTCACATTTAAATAGATAGTAGTACACACACATGGGTGTCAGCAGAATAGGTGTTACCAGAATAGGCATGACTGGAGATGCATGTACATACAAACATACAGAAGACTTCTCGCCTGAGTGGGGCTCACTCAGGCTCGTCCCAATAAAACAAAACAAAATCTTGTTGGGGCGAGGCTGAGCGAGCCCCACATAAATGAGACGAGTATGTCTGTCTGTATGTATGTATGTATGTATGTACACGTACGTCACCCCTATTTATTCGTATAAAAAATTACACGTTTGTTTTTAAAAATGATAATTTGATAATTACAGTACCACGTGGCATGTGCAAAAAGCAACTTATCAAGAAAGAAATCCAAGGAGATCAACAGTTCATCCAGAGAATATTAAACTAAGAAGATATGAGTAGTTCACAAGATGCCCATTGTCTTCGTCATAACGAGTGTGATAGGGAAAGGAGAAGGAGTGAGACTGAGGAGGAGAAAAGAGCGAGGAGGGACAAGAGAAATGCTAGAGATAGGTCTCTTTGCGCCCAAAAACAACAGACGGAGTCTCCTTCTGAAAGAGAAGATCACCTGTCTGTAGAAAGAGCCAGGATACGAGGGATGAGAGAACAAGAGGACCAACAAAGAGCCAGTCTGTCATTGAAGAAACTATTTTAACTTTAGGAAATGTAGCTCTTGAAGTAGATAATAATAACATCGTTACACATGCTACTCTACAATACTGAAATCTAACTGACAATGCACTATGTTATTTCATGCTTATCTCATTTATCACTATGAGTTTTTTGCCTTAATCATAGCCATAGTCTCACCCCACCCCTTTAGACTATCATAGCCATAATTTTTTGATGATAATTGGGGCGAGCCTGAGCTCGCCCCACTCTAGCTATACTCTCAGTCACGCCCCGTCTGTCCCTCTGTCTGTCTGTATGTCTGTCCTCGTACGTCACCCCTATTTATGCGTAGATCTAATACGGTAGATAGATACTATGCATTACCAATGCAATTTTCAATTTTTCATTGAAAGTGGGAGCGGTCACAGTAAAATAAAAATGGCAACCAACACACTGGAAGAATTCATGAGCTTTCTAGCAGCAATATAAGGCAGATACACCGTCCAAAGACTTCTCCAGCAGCTATAGAAGGTTTTAAATTCAATTAATAACCTATGAAGCTCGTTTTAATTGATGCAATTGCTATTAAAACTGTGAAAGTCAATCAAGCTTTTTCTCAGTCATCTTAACATTGGATAATATTATATCTAAAGCTAAGTAAAGCATCTTTACAGACATTTTTAGGCAAGAAATGTGTATGTTAAACTAGAAGACTAAAAGTTAAATAAAATAAATGATCTAAAGTGATTTTATAATCTTTAGCTTTCATCATGTACATGCATGCTTGCTGCATAGCAAGCATGCATGCTAAATCATGATGCATGCTTTGAAATCATCAGGAGTAGATCATAGATAGATAGATAGATCCAGTACTATGATTGCTTTGCTAGTTGCTTTGCTAGCTTAGGCTCGCCCCTTAATGTTCTACATTACTTCTAGTAGTGTTAATTTTTGATGATGATCAGAATAATATTTTGATGATTGGGGTGAGCCTGAGCTCGCCCCACATAAACGAGATGAGTATGTTTGTCTGTCTGTACACGTACGTCACCCCTATTTATGTGTAATGCGGTAGATGCTATGCATTGAAAAGGGTATATAAATTCAGTTTTTAATATTTCATTAAAAGTGGGAGTGGCCACAATGAAATAAAATGGCGACCAACACACGGGGAAAAGTCGTGAGTTTTCTAGCAGCAAATCAAGACAGAAACTCTGTCCAAAGGCTTCTCCAACAGCCAGGCAAGAGTATAGATGCCATAAAGTAACTATGAAACTTGTTTTTACTGATAACTCGACTTACTGTACTCGCATACTGCTGTCCAAAGCAACGGCAAGGAATGTTAAGAAAGCAGATATGTCATCTTTGTTGATGTGAATGACTTTGAATGTCTGTCACAGCCTGAATTAACTTGGACTACATTGCTACAGTTGCCTATCTAGCCATATCATTTGTGCAGTGACTGTTTCTAGCTATCTTTAATGCTTTCCAAATGCTAAACTTGATTTGATTACAAAGGTAGGTCAAGAACTACACTGCACTCAATCAAGTTCTGAGCTGCTTAAGTTGCACTGTCATGAGTATTGTTAGTCTGTCAATATCTATTGTATGTACATTGCTTTAATTGCTTAGGTTCACCCCATCAATGTTTTACATTCATCTAGTAATTGCCATTACTTTCTTACAACAACCATACATGGTGTTTATACCACTGCTTGCTTGGGCTCGCCCCTTCAATGTTTTACATTCGTCTAGTATACAGTAATTGTAATACAGTACATGTATACCTGATTCCAGTGCTAGTAGTGCTTCCTGAAGTGATTGGTTGTTAGTTCTAGACACTTGTAGATCATGATGTAAAGACTCATTGATAACTTGAAGCTCCTTCACTTTATCTATCATGTATGATTCCTTTCTTCTTTCTTTTAGTATTAGTTCATACAATAAAGGAATATTAAATGAATCTAATACTGGACCCACTGACCATTGACCATCATTAAAAACTGAGGGAGAGAGGGAGGGAGAAGGAAAAGGAAGGAATAAAATAAGTTAGTTACAAAAAATGACAAAATTATACTTTTGAATTTCGGGAAAATGTATTGTTCTAATTATAATTTTGAACAGTGGTATTGTAATGAAGATCATGTTAATAACAAACAAGTAAAACAACGAAAAGAAAGGAGAGACAGAGAGAGAGAGCCATACAATCAATGAATCACCACATGCATACTGAGGATGCGCATTAGGTTCACAGTATATACAGTACACACACAATGTAAACAATGATGTCCAGTCACTTCATTACAGTATTATTAATATTATCTACAATAATTAATGTATTGCACCACATTTGCCTATATATTTTGTGGGTGTGAATTAGCAGAAGCATACAAAATTTTTCTCCCATAAATACATGTGGATAATATTACCTAGTTCCACTACCATTGTGATATTAGGATCAGTGACAGGTTTATTAAACCTATTTATTACTCCTCCTCCTACATGTTTGAGTTCAGCTTCTGTACAACCTCCCACTATTATTAGGAACACATGATTAGGATCAACAACAAAAGATGATACAGTATGAGCATATCTACCATTAACAGATTCAGGTAGAGGAATCTGTAGAAAATAAGAAATAAAGTATACAATTTACAGAGTGACATTGATATCAGTTATGGGATGGTCTGATGTAGGTACAGTAGTCGTATAAGGTTGGCATTTATAGGGGCGTGCACAACAAAATTTTAAAAACTAGGAAGCAAAGTATTGATTTTTAGCCACACCCTAAAAAACTGGTGCTTGAAAATTTTTAGTCAACTCATATTCATAATAATAATGCCCATATAATGACAATAATAATGTATTAATACCTTCATCCAATTGTACTGGCTTGTGTCTAATAATAAACATTCATTCAACGGTTGATTCCAACTATCCACTCCACCAATCATTACTAGTGTAGGTGAGGTAGAGACACCATTGATAATAGTACTGTCATGAAAGTCTCTTCCTTTAGGCCACAGTCCATCATTAGGTACTGATCCTTGGTTAAGACACTCCCAGTTCTAGAAATATATTATTCATAAGATCAATTAAGAGTGATAAATGTATCATTCTTACTGTTAATGGCTTTATACTGATAGTGTATAACTTACTATTGTACAATTTGATAATTGGAACAAGTAGATACTGTTAGTAGAAATATCTCCACCACCATCAGTTGCTATTCCTCCATACATTATTCCTTTATCATGACTGATCCTTTCAATTATAAAGTGACTGGTTGGTGGAAAACACTGTCCACTGATAATTGGAACAATCCATTGTCCTAAAAATAATAATCAGTAACTGTATGTTTATTGGACTCGCCACATAGGCAAGTATCAAGTACCGTAAATTTTCAAATAAAAGCGTGGGCGTTTATTTCTTTGCAGGACAAAAATTGCGTAAAATAAAATTTAAAAAATGTAAAACCAGGATTTGTACTCGCAACTCTAGGATCATTGCACTCAACTTAACAAGTTAGGCCATTTGGGACACTCTAAAGTGGATGCTACTTATATTGAGTAAAATATGCGTATCTATACTTAAAGATTATTAGTACCAGGCGTTTATTCAAGCCCGACCTTTATTTGAACATTTATGGTACTTGGGTTGTCCTGCATGCATACACGTATCTTAATGAGATTTTTTAAAACTTTTTAAATTAAAAAATGAGTCTTCTAGACTCATAGACCTTTCTCCATAGCTAGTCCAAGCCTTCATTTATCAGCTAAATATGTTTAAACAGGGATATAATAGACTAATGTAACCGGGATTGGCAACGGGATCACGTGAGCGCATCATTTGTGTATAAAAACTTTTTGCAGTCTCTGTTATCAATTTCAAGATGGCGGCTCTCAATGACTGGAGTATGAAGTCAGAGTATGAAGTTGCTCTCTTCTCTTTTACAAATGTATTTAGCTTTATGAAAAATCTACTGCAAAGTTATAATGGCGGCTTCAAGGTTCTGATAGGTTATTGTAAGTTAATATTTGTTTTAAATTGGTCAAATCTTCTTATTATGGCTAAAATTCCATTTGTGTACCTCTGTAGCCCAAACATTTGTTTCTGTGAGTGTATTTTTGTCATGAAATGTTGTTACTTAATTTATTACATTGTTTAGGCAACTTCTCTTGTTTCTCCAGAGTGTTCTTCAGGAAATATTCAAGAATAACCAGTTTGCCATGGTATGACTTTTGGGTACCTCTCAAGGGAATGGACTACATTCTATTACTATGAAACTACAATAAAGAGATCCTTTACATGTTTTTACATTGTTTAAAGTTGTTTTTGAATTTTTCTTGTTGCTAATCTTTTAGTTATAACAATTTATATTCAGCCATTTTACTAAGATGCCATTGATTGCTGCCATTAATTTTAATGAATAATAACAGAGTCTGATAATGGACCTTGTGCAACGAACGTTCTATTTAACGCGCACCTCTCAACTGGAGTAAAGGCCTTCATACACGAGGCAACTTGTTGCTAGCAACATTTGTGGTTACTTTGATCTTGTAAGCAACATGTTGCTAGAAATAGAAAGATGTTCTATTTTTGGCAACATGTTGCTTGGTTGCTAGCAACAAGTTGCCTCGTGTATGAAGGCCTTAAGATGGCGGATTTTTGGTCAACAGGCAGGCTGAACATTTTCCTCTTTTATCAAGTCATCCTTACTTTAGGAGCCACTTTGAGCTCTCTTTCTGTTTCATCACACTCTTTTTATTTCTCCTGTAAGCTCTTTGGTTGTTGTTTTGGCTTTTTAAGCAGTTTTTCATAGGCCTATTCTCACCCTTTGGCAATTCCCGTTTTGGTAAATTTTGCTTCCAGGAGCCAGGGCGCTTGCCCCTCCATTGCTATGAAGACAGAATTGTATTCACCTGAGTCCTATGACTAGTGTCTATCATCAGAGTTAGTCTCAGTCTATCAGGACAAGGTACGGTGGAATTACTCACTCAGATGTCATGTTGCAGCTGGAGTGTTGATGATATGGCCATCTTTTCTCATCTTAAAACTATAGGATTGGTCTTCATTCACATCTAAGAATCACTCCAAGGATCGTAAGTGTGCTGTAATAGCTGTGCTTCAAGTAACTAGTTGTTAATAGTGACATCTGGTATGAAGTAAAACGCTACCATCATTACACGATTTTTAATGTTAATATAAATGTTAATCACAACAGTTGTCTTTGTTAACGGCCAGACAGTTTTAAATTATCGTTTATGTATTATGTATATACTCTTTATAATAAAATATCTGTAAATATATGAAGTGTCATGCATACAAAAGTAATGTAGTGTTAAAAACAATAATAACTGTAGCAACAATGTCAATTATGTTTTTCATAATTATGAATATCAAATAAAACTGTTAGGAGAGGATACAAATGTGACGAGCCACAAACGAGTCCTAAATGTGATTATTCCTCTCTGCAAGTATTGGATAGCAACACAGACTTTAATATGACATGAATTGCTCGTACAGTACAACCAGTGAATTTACAGATCAAGAATGAGAGCCAGAGAGTTCTTGCACCCCTCAACTATTCATAAAAGAGCCATCCTATAGTTTTAAGATGAGAAAAGATGGCCATATCATCAACACTCCAGCTGCAACATGACAACTGAGTGAGTTATTCCACCGTACCTTGTCCTGATGGACTGAGACTAACTCTGATGATAGACATTAGTCATAGGACTCAGCTGAATACACTTCTGTCTTCATAGCAATGGAGGGGCAAGCGCCCTGGCTCCTGGAAACAAAATTTACCAAAACGGGAATTGCCAAAGGGTGAGAATAGGCCTATGAAAAACTGCTTAAAAAGCCAAAACAACAACCAAAGAGCTTACAAGAGAAATAAAAAGAGTGTGATGAAACAAAAAGAGAACTCAAAGTGGCTCCTAAAGTAAGGATGACTTGATAAAAGAGGAAAATGTTCAGCCTGCCTATTGACCAAAAATCCGCCATCTTACTCCAGTTGAGAGGTGCGCGTTAATTAGAACGTTCGATGCACAAGGTCCATTAACTTCTGGTCCATAACCAATCCCGGTTACGTTAGTCTATTATATCCCTGGTTTAAAGAGCATCGCTAGGGAGAACAAGCTTGCAAAGTAAGGAAGAAAAATTTAAAAATGCAGCAATTGTGCTGACACTCTTGAATAGATATATAAAACCATTTTCCAATAAATTACCACCTTCTAAAATGTATAATTCTTACTTGGCAGTGACTTATGCTCCAAACTTCATCCTGGCCATCTGGCTTTGTAAAGGGTTGAGCGGGAAGAAATGTGGCAGGCTAGCGATACTAGAGCCTCTCAACTCTTTTAAATATATATAGGCAGCAGTATAGTGCCATATTACATGTCATAATTACTCGTAAGAAGAAAAAACTTAAGCTGCTAAGGCCATTTTAATTTTGTATTGGCAAAGAAGCCATGTACCTCTATTAATAATTGGCAATTTTACATGCAATCTGTTATGTACTAAAACTAAAAGACTACATGTGTATAACACATGTAGTAACACATACTACTTATGTACTAAATGATTACATATGTATAACAAACTATATGTAATTTAGCTCCGGCCACAAAATTTTTTTACAAATTTCAATACCGGTACAATACAATGAGTCACTTACCACTGGACAGGTTGTAGATATTCTGTTCATTAGTTCTAAGATGATCATTATTAACACCAGGTATTGTAAACGTATCATATTTAAATTGAAGATGATACTGTGTAGCGAGACTAGTAGCAATTGATATAGGACTATATCCACCAATAACCAGTAACTGTTGAGGTTCACCTTCACTTCCCATTACTATCATACCACCATTGCTTCTCTTAGTCACAAAATTGTCACTGGTTGGTTGTAATTCTTTCCATTGAAGAGTCAAAGTGTCTAAACAGTTCAAACTGTTATGGAAGCAACTGTCATGGCCACAACAACCACCAAAATAATAAATATTATTATTAATGACAGCACAGGAGACTCCTCTGATTCCCAGTGGAGGAGTACCACTAGTAGGTTGAGAGGACCAAATACCAGATAATAAGTTAAACGTATCAATAGCAGAAGTATACAGTCTCTTTGTAGGAGAATCACAGTGTGACACATCTAATCCTTTCTTTTCCCCTCCCCAACAGTACAGGACCTCTCCTACTACTGCAGTTGTGTGTTGAGCCCTCCATCCCAGTTGATACTGACCTGTAGAATACCAATAATTACCATTTACAAGAGAGGGAGGAACTGACCTGATGCATCTAAACTTCTGTCCATCTTAGCCTTCAAGCTTTAACTTTCCCGAATCCCTATCACCATGCTATCACTTATCACGTGATCCAGCCCCACCCATAATGCCCAAGTGCAGTGCATACAATCAAGAGTAGATGATGTTACAATAAACATAAGCTTTGTATTGTCATCATCTTGGTATTATTCAGAGAAATTAAAGTATAGATCACTAGAAGAATGTAGAACATTAAAGGGGCGAGCCTAAGCAAGCTATAGATTGTGCTACATGATCTACATGTATGAGCAAGCAAAGCAATTGCACGTGCAAGTCTAAATCTTCTCTATCACTTCCTCACTTAAGAATCTCTGCAGCATTGCAGCAATTAATGTTATCCTGCTTATAGTTATAAGCAGTCACAGAACAAATCATATTTGAAGATTGTATATCTGCTTTGCTCTTGATTATAGTTGCTTGACATTGACTTATGATTGAGTTGTATATATCACATAAACTAAATCAAACTAGCAAGTGTTGGGATAGTCTTTGTCTTTTATCAAGACACCTCTGAGCACTCTCTCTTTCCTTCTGCTTGATTGGCTCCTTCTTCTTCCTCTGCCTATAACTCTACAACAATACAATCAGGTATAATAATTATGATCACTTTAATATTATTATGCACAATAATACTGACAATAAAGTCTATTCTATTCTAATACAAGCTCAAACTTTTCCTGAAGGAATTCCTTTAGTAACAAATCATGATATCATATACTTACTGAGAACACTCTTAGCCATTCCATGACCTCCTGGTCAGTTTCTTGCAGCTGCTTCCTAATCTCCTGACGTCTTATCTCAGACTTAGCTAATGAATGAAGCATCCTCTTCTGCTGCTGATTGTATTCATGCTATAGAACAAGATTAAAGAAGATACACACACAATTAAAGTACATTGTATATGGTATAAGGTAGTGAAGAAATGGAAGATAATTTTATCACAAACTTACAACAGCTTTTAGCTCAGTTTGTGCTTTCACTAATTCTTTAACAACCTCATCTTCATCATCAGAGCTGTCCCTCTGTGACTAACAGGAACAAAAAAGAAGGACATTATACTATGCTATTGTACAGTCATGTTCATCATACTTAAATTGGGCAAAGCCCACTAAGACAAGAAAGCGTTTGTATGGGCAGGTTGTCTAACTATTATTATAGTTAAGTAGCCTAATCTTCATTGAAAGTGGGTATGGTCTAATGAAATAAAACGGCAGCTATCAGCTAGTCTGTGCTCTTTTGCAACAAACGCTCAACAGGATAAGACAAAACTGCTATCCAAAAATTTTTCTAGCACTTTAGCAGCAAGAAGGATCATACAGCACAACAATAGCATGGCTGGGAGTGAGCCTCTTTAAATGTTTTACATTCTTCTAGTTTACTATTATTATCTAAAAGTGATTGCTTACTTCAGGAGGGTCCAGTAGTCCTAGTGTTACCAGTTCCTCTTTTAGTCTTCTCTCAAGAGCAGCTGGTGATATAACTGTTGAAGGGAAAGAGTCCGCTTTACCGGAAGAAAATAACTGAGAACCATGAGGAGAATCAATGAACGTCTGAAAATAAAATAAAGATAATAATAATAATAATAATAATAATAATAATAATAATAGATTATAATAAAAGGTGACATACTGCCATTAGTTTCTGGGTGAGTGGTCCATAGCTAGTGCATGTATTGGATCTATTAGCAGTTATTCCTTCATTGAATAAAATATCTAAAAACAATACAAAATTAATAATATTCCTACATTTACAGTACATATACATGTACATGTACATTCTCTCTCTCTCTCTCTCCCTCACTAGTTTCATCTTGTAGGTCTTTAGTTAGTCCAGAGTGGAGTCTAGCAGTCTCTGTTCCTTCTTCATTCAGCTCCTCCATCAGCCACTGCTGACTGTAGTGCTGCCCTTGACTGGGTATCTCAAATAAACTCTTGTCAAAATTCTAAACACAAAATTAAATAAAATAAAAGTAAATTCTTTAAATCGAAGACAAGAAATACTGTATACATGCATTACGATTTAGTAATGCTGGTATTATTTAATGATGTACATGTAGTAGTTTTATAATTATTAATTGTTTTTTCTTACATTATCTTGTGCTTGAAGATTATGCAAATCATTCTCCGTTATGTCAGCAAAGTACGGTTCCAGCGAAGCCCAAAATTTATCAGCCCCCTCTGTTTTAGACCTAAAAACAAAAGACATTTTCAATAAGACCATTATTATGACTATTAATTTAGCTACATACAATTTATGCTAAAATGTATTAAATTGTGACTATTACGATGAATTGTAGCACCGTTGATTCGTAGATTACGGAAATTATTGCACTCGGGATGGTCTTGACGAAAATGTAGCACTCGGCTTCGCCTCGTGCTACATTTTCCTCTCGACTGCCCCTCATGCAATAATTTCCGTAACCTACTCTCAACAGTGCTTTAACTAATACTTATATCAAGAGGATTTTAGTTACAATACATACAATAGTACATATTATCCTTCACTTACTTTGTTAAAGCACTTGTTATTTGGTTCTGATCCTTCTCTGGTATAACAGTCTCACCACTTCCCCTGCTCTTACCCTTCCCTTTCTTATGTTCATCTACTCCTCCCCCTCCTCCTCCTCCTCCTCTGTGACTGGCTTTAGTTCTCTTACTAGTTGATGAAGATGATAGTTGTTCTAAAGGTGATTTCTGTGAAGCTCCTGATTGTGATTTTGATGTACCGCGAGTGTTGCTAGGAGCTGAGCTTGAGAAAGGAGCTGTGCTACCACTCTCTGTATCACTGTGCTTCCTCCTGTACAGGAATGGTAAAATAATAATAATGATAATAAAATTATCTATAAAATTTTGTGCTTCACCAAGTACCAAATACATTTATTATCATGAGAAACTGCTGCATTTTTGTAATTTTTTTCTGATGCATGTACATGTATATCTATGTTCTTATGCTGTGTATCAACTTTGAGCTGATTCCAGTCAAAATTACATTTTTATGAATTATTAAAGTTGCTCAAAATTTGGGCCAAAGATCCTGTAATGTATTTATGCTGTCTAGAAAGTTCAAGCTGATTCCAATCAAAATTAGACTTCCTACAAATCTTTAAAGTTGCTCCAAAAAGCATATGGCACTATAGTACAGTAGCTCACACAGCTCATGCTGTTCCATTCACTTGCATGGCAGGTTACAAGGTAAATATCCTTTTATTACAAATGTATAATTTATTTTAACTTTACATACTTTCTCCTCACGTGCCAGTCATTCAATACAGTTAGTTCTGATGTCAGTAATTGTACTCGACTAATAGGAAAGGAAGTGTAATGATACAAATATTAATAATGATGGATGGGGCCGCTACTTTTGAGCTGCTTCTTTGAGGTTTGAGAGCTCCGCCTGTAATTTATCAAGATCATCAAGTGGAATGGAGTCTGGAGAAAAAATAATTAAAAAAAATTAATACAATGTAACTAATCATGACAATTTTTATTTACTTAATTACTAAAATTCAACTACATCTATTTTAACGTGCACACAAGTTAAATTTTAATGCCAGACCCTCCCTCAATATTTAAGTACTCACGTTGACTTGAGAATATTAATGAGTAGGTGGGGCATAGCTACAAGGATGTGGACAACGAACAAAAATTGAAAATATTAAAAATCATTAGATTAAACGTACTTTCATGTGATCCAGGTGCTTGAAATCATAAAAATGAAGTGGACAGGCCTGGTACTAGAATAAAATGGAGAGAAAATAATTAAGAAAAGCTTAAAAAACCTACACTGACTTCTTGAGGAGAAAGGTCCATTTTGATAGTATTTTCTAATTAACGCGCACCTAAGTTGGTGATATCATAGATATTATAGACTACGTAACCGGGATTGGAAACAGATCACGTGATCCCATTCAAATCAATGTAACTATTCAGGTACAGTCTCTGTGACAGTGAGAGGCGGACGAAAATCCCTGACATGGCTGGAAAGAATGGTCTCTAGTGAAGTCCCGCAAGCTATTTCACCTGTGCTTGGGCTCTTATAATATACGCACATGTTTATATTTTTCTTTGATACAAAAATAAAATGTGTTAGCTGTGTAAAAACAGGTGTTTAAAGCAAGTGCGCTCCCCGTGACAAGAGAAAATGTCTTATTCTCCCTCCTGCAAACAAGCTTTAGCTACCCCAGTTTCATTTTATGATTAAAACTATGCACAAGGCCATGCTACATGAGAATAGACTGGTTAGTTCTGCCTGCCATATTACTGAGAGCAGAAATCCACCAAAATAACGCCAAAAAGCGGCCGATCTGTTGTACCTCTCCCGAGCGAACTAAGCATAGAGACACGAAGAGAAAGGTGCCATCGTGATCTCTGGTATTTTCTTTATGCGATTAAGCTACTTAGAACCAGCTACATCACAGTATATTATTAATACGGCTCATCAAACATAACAATTCTTCATGATTTTCACCATTTTGATGTAAATTCATGCAATTTCATGCATTAATAATCACACAGTCTGTACACGTGACGTCATCAGTTTCCAATCCCGGTTACGTAGTCTATAATATCTATGGTGATATTAAAAATGGCGGCTTTCTGGAGGGAATACATTCTCTTTTTTCATAGCCACTCTCTCGCTGTGAGGACCACTTTGAGCTTTGATTTATATTTTGTAAGCTCATTGGTTTTTTTTTCAATGTTTGTTCCTGTAATTTTGTCCACTGACACTGTAAAGCTTTAAAAAAGTAACAGACTTTTATGGTTGAAATAATTATTATATTATTTATTTATTTATTATTCTTTATAGGTTGTGTAGTAATGGACCAGAGCTCTTAATCTACCAAAGGAAAACTGTGTCTTACAACTACTCAGTAAGTGATAGTAATAGTAAGAATTGGTGGTACATGTACATGTACATGCAATTTTGGAAAAATGCTCATGACTTCAAAAATATTTGTCAGAATTATCTCAAACTTTCTACATAGCATAAGGACGTCAATATACATCAGAAAATGTAATAAAAATTAGGGGGTGATTTTTGAGCCATTTTTAAAAAACCAAGGCCTTGGGTTGGTTACTTTTTTCACCCTCTTCCCTCGTTTATGGAATTCTCTTCCACCTGTAAAAATCTCTCTTTCTAAAGAAACTATTAAATTACATGTAAAGAAAACTTTTTGGAATCACTTTATTGTTCATTTTGACCCTAATAATGTTTGTTCTTATCACTATGTATGTCCTTGCTTTTCTTGTGCCAATCTTCCTGTAAACTCTATGTATTCCTGATTTGTTTATGTTAGTAGTTATTTCATTTTATTTTTATTTTTATTATTTCCTTATTTACTATTCTTATTTTCTCTTTTTTTTTCTCTCTCTCTATCTGTTTAATCTTTTTTTGTTTGGCGGTCAGCTCAGGAAGCTGGCTGTCCATCTGTATACATTTGTATACAGTAAAGTTATTTAAAGTTAAAGTATTTTCACAATTTTCGTGTTTTCTTAAAATGGCCGTAACTTATTTGTAACTATACTTTTTTGGGAAGGCAGATGAAGTAGCTTAAGTACATGTACATGTATATCAAGCCAAAGAAGGTTAATATAATGCTTTTTGATAATAATTGTTCTCAGTAACAGCTTTATTGAGCCGTTTTAATAACATTAAAGGTAATCGGCATGGCTTAATAACTTATGGATAATAGATATCAATATTTTCATTTTTGGGCAATTATTATATGATATTAGAGGTGGGCGATACGATACCAAAGTACTCATATATCCGATACCAAATCGAGTGGTGAGTAGCCACGCCCCACCACACCTACCTTGACGTCATGATACTGGCCACACCCTCTGGTAATTACCAAAATGGCGGTTTATTTCTCCTAATTTTTATTAATAGCTAATTTGTGCACGTGCAGTGGCTGACTGCTCCATTCAGTACTTGATACCATCGATACTGATTCTCAGACTACTTGGTATCGATTGGTATTGATTCAAAATTTCTGGTATCACCCACCTCTATATGATATTGTATCATTTCAAAGTATAGCATATCACCCAGCACTATTAATTTTTTAATCTTTATATTAAAAGTAAGACAGGGTTATGTTAACCCATTCAAAAATTTTCTTTTGGTGAGATAACACCTTTGCAGTTTTGGACGTATTTACATTGAAGGTCTCTCTCCTTTTATACTCAGTTATTTGTAAAAGGTCTAATGGGTTGCCCTCTCTAAGTCATCCTGTTCTTTGTTGTGGTTTATAGTTGACACTACATGCCGGTATAACAATTGCAGCACTTCATTAACTGTTACTACTACTGATTGTCCTACATGTACATACTGTATATCCTTGCTTGTTTAGAATGATTCAAATGTTTAATTGTTTATATTGATAGTTTAAGACAGGGCTAAGTTTATAAGTTAACCTATTCAAGAATTGTATAGATTATAGAGGTGGGCGATACGATACCAAAGTACTCATATATCTAATACCAAGTACTCGATACCAAATCCTGGTATCGAGTAGTGAGTGACCATGCCCCACCACGCCTACATTGACGTCATAACAGTTGCCACGCCCTTTAATAATTACAAAAAATGTCAGCTTTTTTCTCTTAATTTTTATTAATAACTAATTATAAATTATTTGCACATGCGCAGTAGCTGACTACTCATTCACTACTCGATACCATCGATACTGAGACTCAGACTACTTGGTATCAGTATCGATTCAAAATTTCTGGTATTGCCCACCTCTAATAGATTACTCTATGCATGTATATGTACATGTATATGGATTAGGCAACTGTCTGTAGTAATTCATCTTGTTTTATACTCACTTATTAGTAAAAGTCTATTGTGGGTTGGACTCTCTTCTCCTTCTCTTGTAGTTAACAGTTGAAGCTATACATGTACATGTATGTTTATACAGCAATACAATGTAATTTGTGTTCCTGTATACATGCACATGTAAATGCATTAACGCAACCTTTAACTTCAATCATTATTCATTATGCTCATACATGTACCTGTACTTACTATGATTTTTTGTTATCATTGTTTGTATTTTCTATTAACTTTTGTAGGAAGAGAAGGAAAGGATCAGTGGGCTATTCTTCCCTCTACTGACAATAATCCTCAGACACTCATCAAAACTGCACAAAGAGAGGGACCTCCTCCCCTTACCCCCTCTGTCCCTCTCCCTCCTACCCCCGGACTGCCCCACCCTTAACTCCGCCCAGTGACTCAGAATTTCCTAATACTGACGAAGGAACTGGTCCTCCTTCACTATCAAAGGAATCATCACACGGGAATATTAAACTGAATCCTATTACGGGGCGGCCCCTGGTATAAGGCTATTAATCCTCTTAATGTTACTGGTGATGATCAGTCTCCTGATGATAAGGTATCTCAACCTCCTTCTCTCTCTCCCTCTCTCTCTCCTGGTCCTAATGTACCAGCTCCTCTCCTGTTCCTCCTGTTTCTATTAATGCATGTAGTTTTAGCTTTCACGAGACGAGGGATTTATTGATGTGCTTTCTATTGGTCGTTGAAGATTTGAATATCGGTAAGCTCCAATAATGATAACTTGTAATCACTGTTAGATCTAGAGGGAGTTTAGGAGACTTTTAGTCTCCCATATTTGGTCTAAGTCTCCTGAAATCTCTCATTTTTCAGCTTTTGGTCTCTCATATTTAGCCCTAGGTGTCCTTAAGTCTACTATTTTTAGTTAGATCGGTCTGTCAAAATTTATTTCTAGATTTAACAATGATTACTGTAATACTACATATTACATGTACATGTACATTAATTTTGTATATTTCAAACAGTTTGATCTGTAGCACAATGTCCTTATGCATGTCTTAAATTTTGTTTTTATGTATTTAATTAATTTATTTATTTTATTTATTCTCTTCACTAGATGTTCTCATCCAGTGGTGGTAGGATTGTGTTGATGCTCCTGTTCCTTTATCAAGGACCTACTCTCTCTCCAATAGGGTCACCAGTGGGAGGGGCTGGGGGCGGAGCTTACAATGATAGCAATGAAATATCAGCTTTTTTTAATGTCCTCAAGTAAGAAATAATAATAATAATAATAATAATAATAGTAATAATAATAATGGTATTTATTTATTTATTTAGATCTTGTGCCCACGTTTTTGAGTATATTGGAAGAATAGCAATCAATAAGAAATGGTAAGCTATAGGGCTGGGATGAAGCTTCCAAAGGTTTAAAGTTACATGTAGTTTCCATTAATCATCAATCACACATGTGTATGTACAGTACATGGGTATTGTGATATTTTTTAAAATGGCTGTAACACAGAAAGTTTTACTCGGAATCAGCTCAAACTTGCTACACAGCACAAGGATGTCAATATGTATTAGAAAATGTAATAAAAATTTGGGATAATTTTGGAGCCATTTTCAGATTTTGGCTCATTTTTCAAAATGGCCGTAACTCAAAAAATTGAAGTCGGAACTAGCTCAAACTTTCTACACAGCATAAGGACATCAATATAAATCAGAAAATGTAATAAAAATTTTTGGTGATTTCGGAGCCATTTTTTGGAAAAAACCATGGGCTATATATAGCCTTCGGTATTTTTCAGATTTTGGCTCATTTTTTAAAATGGCCGTAACTCGAAAAATTGAAGTTGGAATTAGCTCAATCTTTCTATGTAGCATACGAACATCAATATAAATCAGAAAATGTAATAAAAATTTGTGGTAATTTCGGAGCCATTTTTTGGAAAAAACCATGGGCTATAGTATAGCCTTGGGTATTTTTTAAATTTTGACGTTTTCTTAAAATGGCCGTAACTTAAAAAATTGAAGTCGGAATTAGCTCAAACTTGCTACACAGCATAAGGACATCATTATGTATCAGAAAATTTAATAAAAATTTTTGGTGATTTTGGAGCCATTTTTTGAAAAAAAACCATGGGCTATAACCTTGGGTATTTTTCAGATTTTGGTTCATTTTTTAAAATGGCTGTAACTCAAAAAATTGAAGTCGGAATTAGCTTAAACTTTCTACGTAGCATAAGGACATCAATATGTATCAGAAAATTTAATAAAAATTTTTGGTGATTTCAGAGCCATTTTTTGGAAAAAACCATGGGCTATAGCCCATGGTTTTTTGAGTATTTTTCAGATTTTGGCTCATTTTTTTAAATGGCCGTAACTCGATAAATTGAAGTCGGAATTAGCTCAAACTTGCTACACAGCATAAGGACATCAATATGTATCAGAAAATGTAATACAATTTTGGGGTGATTTCGGAGCCATTTTTTGGGAAAAACCATGGGCTATTATTACAGCCTTTGCTTTTTCCAAAAGTTCACTACTTTTAAAATGCCTGTCATTTGAAAATTTTTTGTTGGAATCAGTATAATGTTAGACTTATCGTATTTATGTATCATTATTATCATAATGTATCATTAATCATTAATTTTCTTATTATTTATTATTTATTATAGGTTGTGGACCTGAACTATCATCTCAAGGATCTGCACTTTATATACTGAAGATTGGATAGACTGAATTTAGGAACAAAGAACTCTGACATTAACATCACTGTACTCTTGTTTGTACATGTACATGTACATACTGCACTGCATGTACAACGTAATGAACGTATGCCTGTAGTGTGTGCAATATATTCTATGTTGTTGTCATTGTTCATGAATTACTCTCATTTCTGTTTATATATTATTAATCATGACACCTGCTTCTGCATTAATGGCTCTTGCAGTAATTGTAATCAAAAATGATAATAAAGACAATGTGTAATAAACAAAAATTATATATTTTTTAAAATTATAATGCAACAGCCAGTCAGCCAATCAGTAGCAAGAAAAACAAATCATTATAATGCTTAGTGAGTTAATATTTAAATATGATATAATACAACTAAATATTCTTAAAGTAGTCTTCAATAGCAGAGAATTGTACTTATCCATTTAATGTCATTAACCTAACAATGGAATGTCATTCATCATACATAGTTACTGACTTACTGTTAGTATTTATTCTCTTCTTGAGTGTAGTGCTCTTAGCATCACTAGCAGTAGTAGCCACTAGTGATCCCAGGCAGCGCCATGTGGAGGCAGCACTACATTGCTGCCCACACTAAAGGAATAGAGTTAACAAAATATATTGAGACTGACTTTGAATGGACTTCAATCTTTAACAGGAACTTGGGACTAAAATCTTGAACAAGGAGAAAGTTTAACATGACACTATTGATTCTATACTGTAAGATCTTTAGTCTTTCAAACAGCTACTTTTTAAATACCTTAACAAAAAAGTTAATACATATAGTGTGTAATGGAATGATACTTAACTTTTGATCCTTTGTACTTCAAAATGATTCCTGGGGCCCCAGGTAAAAAAATACTAATAATAAATGATAAGAAATAATAAAAAATAATAATAAATTTAATTATAAATAATACTAATAATAAATGATAATAAATAATAATAAATAATAAATTTAATTATAAAAAATAATAATAATAAAATAATAATAACTCATAAAACCTAGATCTATAACCTATACCTACACTATAGAACCTGTATCCTATAACTACCTGTTTCTTAATTTCTATACTATAACTACCTTCTAATTTCTACTATACAATACCTATACTATAACCTAATGATAACTATACCTGCTTCCTAATTTCTACTACAATACCTACACTATACCTATAACTACCTTCTAATTTCTACACTATAGCCTATATCCTATGTATAACTACCTGTCTTTTATAATTTCTACTACTATACCTACACTATATAACCTGTACCCTTCTAATTTCTACTACTATACCTATGACCTTTAAATTACACAATGATACCTACATGTATATGTATACCATATTAACCTTGCTATAAAAGTACACTCTCATCTTATAACAGCATATAATTATATTTATACCTACATTAACTTATTAACCTATGAACCTTAATATGACACAATGATATCTATACCATATTAACCTTGCTATATACAAATACATTCCTATGTTAATGCCATACCATATTACCTATACCTACAACTTATATTGTATCAAAATGTAAGACAAGTTATCTTAATAGAGTACCATTATCTAATGACCTATTACTAGATACCTCCTACCATTACTGTCTATATAACTGTAACCTCTAGAACCTTAACATAATAAGAGTAATATTAATACACAATTTACCACACAATATCTATATTAATCAAGAATAATTATTAAATTGAAAATTAATTGTGCATCCACGAAATGCAACGCAGAATTGAGATTTTGCTAATATCATGTCAACTTGACGCATTATTTGCATCAAAATGTCAGATCACACATATAATTGTAACATTACGTTTGATGATAAACCTACAATGAGAGCTATTGACTTATTTTGAAAGCTGGGGCAAACACTCAACAATTGATCGTAAGTCAAAGCCACGGGATCGAGAAAGAGTTCAGAATGAGAATTAGGAAACTAGTGCCCAGGACCCTCAGGCTACCTGCATCACAAACCTCACCAATCTACCCACCGTAACCTGGCTTAGCTCAAATGTATAGTGTTTGCCTGGTTTTAGTTAAAGGATCGAGACAAAAAAGAAAAAGTCTGATCCTTTCTTCTGCTTAGAGTCCATATCACACAAAAAGGAAAAAGAGAGAAAGAGAAGAAGAGAGGGTTCTAGCATGAGATACGGGGAGCCACTATCAGACCCAAAAGGGGGACTCCTTGCCCACACTCCTGGGCAGAACCCTCTCCCCTTCCCTCTCACATGATCGGGACTAAAAGCAGGTCACTGTGAAAAAGGGTAGCTCAACCCATACAGTGAAAAAATAAGCTCATGTCTTCATTGAATCCACAACAGCTAGGATATGTTCTCCTCTCCTCCTCTGGTATGTCTATCAGCTCCTCTCCTTCCTCCTCTCAGTCAGCTAGTATTAGATGATGATCCAATTGTAAACTGTAGATTAGTGCTGGATGCTTGATCCTCAATGCTATGATAACAGTGTGAAGTGTTGTGTCCACCATGATTGCCTCCTTGTTAGCTGCATGACGTCTTTTCCAAAGAACCGTAAGTAAATCATACGGAATGTTCTTGATTGATACACTAGCTCTCACAAGGTACTGAATTATTTCATGATAATGACAAACGCTACAGGCTCGATCCATAAAATGATTATGTGATTGAAAATAACAGAGTCTTTTTGCAAGCAGGTGGAGTGGTCAGAGACAGCAAGACTGGGATCAGGAGACATTACAATCTTACGCTATGTGAGGACACGTGTACCAACATGAATAAATTAAACATTAATACATTATTATGAAGTACACATGTACATGCAGACACTAACATATTAAAAAACAATAATATGAAACATGAAGGGGCTCTGTCCCCTAGTCATGGGCACAAGTACATACACACGGAATCAATAAGGGACAACCAATTAGTATAATACAAACACACCAATAATAGCTAAACTTAGAAACAGTTTAACGTCATGTTTAGGACCCTAAACTTAGAAACAGTTTAAGTCATATTTATGACCGTTAAAATCAAATAAAATATTTGTGATTAAATAGGAATTTACATTCATTTGGTTACACATTGGTTATGGTATTCTTATACTAACTAAATTATAACCTGTGGTCCTTAATACAGTTCCAGTAACATATCAACTACACATCCTACACTTCCTACCACTGACCCTCACAGACTCTGTAAGGGATTCCCTAGTAATATTAATACCATGCATGCATGCACACAGATACAGACAATAATAATAATAAAGCAAGGGATTAGATATTACTAGCTGCAGGCAATCCCAACTAGCATTACAATAATAATACAATAGCAACTTGCTCTGAAATCTTCTTAATACTACTACCCCAAAGCTATTAGACTCCAGCACACAAGAGGACCTCTTCAATGATTCGATGCAATTCAGACTTCCACGACAACATCAAAGACTGCACAGAAACCAAGGACTTCACGAGGACTTGAAACCCACTACCTTTATACAGCTCCTAAAAATCAAATAAAACAATAAATTTATGCATTAATGTCCCAAACACACTCACTCTCTCCCTCCCTCCCCTCTAGCTCTCTCAATAACCCACTCACATGATTTAGTTTACTGCTGTTCTTCCTCAGCTCCTCCTAAAATCAAATAAAGAAAACAATTAACTAACATGTTAATATCAGATAATACTCCCACTCCCAACTCTCCTCTCTCAATAACCTACTCACACGATTGAACTAGTTGTATTGCTGTTCCTGTATCTCTCTCCCTCCCTCTCTTACTCTCTTTTAGATGCTCTTGCCTTCAGGCTTTG